TCTCTCTCTCTCTCTCAAAATAAATAAATACACTTAAAAAAAAACATAGCAAGATGTTAACAATTGATGAATCTAAGAGTTCATCACAAAGTTCTTCCAAGTTTGGCATAACTAAGAATTTTCAGAGGGAAACTGGTAGTGGGGACAAGAGGAAAGAATAGAGCATGTCTAGAAACCAAAGCTATTTGGACATTTAAGTCTTTTTTTTTTTTAAGTTTATTTATTTGGTGTGAGAGAGAGAGAGAGAGAATGCAAGTGGGGTAGAGGCAGAGAGAAAAACAGAGAGAGAGGGAATCCAAAGCAGGCTCTGCACTAACACTGCGGAGCCTAATGCAAGGCTCGAACTCATGAACTGTGAGATCGTGACCTGAGCCAGAGTCGGAGGCTTAATTGACTGAGCCACCCAGGCGCCCCGACATTTAAGTCTTAAATGGGACTTCAGCTTCCATATTCTGGCTCTCAAGAAGCTTTGATTACTTGAAACCAGCCTAGAAGCAGCCAGGACTCACCTCTTCCTTCCTCTCCATAGCCGAGGTGAGGGGGAACCACAATCCTCCGCTTCTCTCCGATGCAAACACCAAGTAAACCTTCATCCATGCCAGCAATCACGTAGCCCTGCCCAATGTATGTGTCAAAAGTGCGGTTCCGCGAGTAGCTGGAAAAGATGGAAGGGAAGACAGAGGTTCCTCACGAGCGATACCACAGCAGCTGTGTGCATTAGTCAGTACCATGAGGCATCAGGAACGCAGAGGCCTCCAGACCCTGGAAAAGACCAAACCTTAGAATGTGAGGACACAACCTGGAAACATGCTCCCCCAAGAACCCACACACAGCGTGGGAGCAGCCACGTACAGACACACTCCCAGAAACAAGCCCTCCAGCCCTCTGGGTTGGCCAGATTATGGATGAGATGCAAACACACAGAAATGCAGCTAACATAAGTTGGACTGTGCTTGGTAACCATGTGAAGTTAATGAAGAAAGCATCTTATTAGAAGCTAAGAATGTGTCACAAGGACAATGTCTCCAGTTTCTAAAGGAGAGAATATCTGTATATGTCAGACCTGAATACTTGGATTGCCTGAAAAGTAACATATAGAGAGTAATTTAACTCTGCAGTGTCTACCAGAGCCTGGATGAACCCTTCCTCCTGTAATTTCTGCTCACCAAGCTACCTTCTGGTGAGTGCTTGGGTTTCCCAAGTGTCACTGGCAGGAGGCCCAAGCATTCTGCTCAGTGGAGAGATCCAGCCTTTGTATAAACTGCCAATTGAAGCCGATTACTGTGAGTTTGGTGAGGACAGGAATCAAGTCCTCACAGCCAGATGTTTCTAGGATAAAATAATAAAACTTCATCTGCCACGTCTACTACCAAAGTCTGAACCACGGTAATCTGCACTCATTACTCACCCCCACCCAGTGCAGATGTGGCAAAAAGTCTGTCCTGAAAGAGCCAGTCAGTTCCACCATTACCTCAAACATGATGACTACCTCAGAATAGATGGACAGCCGAATGGTGCCAGGGGGATGAAAAGACCCTCCGTCAGGGGCTCTCCCTTCTCAATACCCCCAGAGACCAACCACAAAGTCAAGGGACATGAAAAAGGATAACAGACGATTCTCCTCACTCAGGAGGCAGATTGTCTACATAACATCTCAGAAGAGGCTATGGAGAAATACCCTTTTCCCCCCACACCGAGGAACTCCAGACTGCAGCCACTCACATGAGCCAGGAGGGCCAGGATGGGAACACAGCCATCAAGGAAGCCAGGCTTGGCTCCCTAGCATCCTCTAGCCATGAGCCAACCTCTCACCTTCCCCAGGTTACTACTCCCTGGCCAGTACTTGAGAGATCATCAGCAGAGAACAGCCACCACCAGGGATTCAGGGAAGAGGAGGACAACTGCCAGACAGGGTCCCTTATAAAGGGACACTAAGCAGTGGGAGAGATGGCAGGTGCTTCAGAGCAGGAAGAGCCACTGGGTGGAACAGTCAGCAAATGTTCCATGGGGATGGGGGAGACAGTGGACACTGAGGAGGCGGGATCTGCCCAGGGGAAAGGACTGGGGAAACAAAGAGGCCAAGGATGAGAGGCAGAAAAGAGCCTCAGAAGAAGAGAATGGATGAGCAGGGTGGCCATGACATGTAGAGAAATTCGAATATCTTTAAAAGAAGACTTAAATAAAAGCAGGGGGTGGGGGAGGGGCGCCTGGGTGGCTCAGTCAGGTAAGCGTCCGACTTCAGCTCAGGTCATGATCTGACTCAGGTCATGATCTCGCAGTGCGTGAGTTCGAGCCCGCGTTGGGTTCTGTGCTGACAGCTCAGAGCCTGAAGCCTGCTTCGGATTCTGTGTCTTCCTTTCTCTCTGCCCTTCCCCTGCTCACACTCTGTCTGTCTGTCTGCCTGTCTGTCTGTCTGTCTCTCTCTCTCTCAAGAATAAACATTTAGGGGCGCCTGGGTGGCGCAGTCAGTTAAGCGTCCGACTTCAGCCAGGTCATGATCTCACGGTCCGTGAGTTCGAGCCCCGCGTCGGGCTCTGTGCTGACAGCTCAGAGCCTGGAGCCTGCTTTGGATTCTGTGTCTCCCTCTCTCTCTGCTCCTCCTCTGTTCATGGTCTGTCTCTCTCTGTCTCAAAAATAAATAAAAAAAAAACATTTAAAAAAAAAGAATAAACATTTAAAAAAATTTTGTTTTAAAAAAGGGAAAGTACCATGTTTCTCCAATGGGAAAGTTGAGGACTAGAAAGTTGTCAATGCTCCCCCAAACTAATTTATGAATTTTGAAATGATTTCAACCAAAATCTGAGTGGTGTGGGGAGAGGGGAAGAGAGACTCCAAAATTCATTTGTAAAAAGAAACTATTTAAAATGTTCTGAAGGTACAGGATATAGCAAGTTCTCATTCCTGTAAAAAAATAAAATGGGAGAATGTGTATAAGTATTTCACCGTGTACATGTGGAGACCTATGAAGCTAAAAACACCGGCTCCCTGTGGAGAGGGGACCTGGGTGATTGAGGGACAGGATAGGAGGGAAATTTTTCATTGTACACCCTTTTGTACTTTTAGGATTTCGACCCACGTCAGTGTATCACTTAATTTTAAAAACCTGATATTTAAAAAGGAAAGAAGAGGAGCACTTAGGTGGCTCATTCGGTGGAGCGTCTGACTCTTGATATCAGCTCAGGTCATGATCCCAGGGCTGTGGGATTGATCCCCACATCAGGCTCAGCACTGAGTGTGGAGCCCGCTTAAGATTCTCTCTCTCCCTCTGCCCCTCTCCCCTGCCTGTGCTCTCTCTCTCTCAAATAAAATAATAAAAATAAATATAAAAAGGAAAAAAGAATACTCTCTACCATACAAACTAACAAGCAACTATAGTTAAAAGTGTGGTATTGGCCTATACACAGCTAGGTCAATAAAAAAGGGTATAAATTTTAGACAAAGACCCAAAAGTATGTGTAAGAATTTAGTACATAATCAGGGTGCCTGGGTGGCTCAGTCAGTTGAGCATCTAACTCTTGATTTTGACTCAGGTCGTGATCCCAGGGTTGTGGGATTGAGCCCCACGTTCGGCTCTGGGTGGAGCCTACTTAGGATTTTCTCTCCCCTCCCTCAGTCCCTCTCCCCTGCTTGTCCTCTCTCACTCTCTCTAAAAATAAAAAGAAAGAAGCTCTACATCCAACATGGGGCTTGAACTCATGACCCCAAGATCAAGAGTCACATACTCTACCAACTGAGCCAGCCAGATGCCCCAATAAGGAATACTTTAAAGGGTAAAACCTTAAAACCATTAAAAAGGCTTAAGGAAAATATAGACAAATGTTTATGTACTCCAGGGGAGGGGACAGATTTTTTATTTTTACCAAGCCCCCAAAGACAGAATATATAAGAATTTATGTAAGAGTAAAGGAAACCATAAAGAAGTTAAATGTATTTAACAACATAAAAAGTTTACATTTAAATAGGTCCAAAATCACAATAACAAAAATTAAAATGCAAAAAAATAAGGAATATTCCTTCAACAATATACAACCATAAAAGGGTTACTATCTTTAATGTATAGAGGTCTTCATATATTCAAACTGATAAGGAAAGGACAAATACCAGTATCTTTAACATAAAAACAGACAAAAGACACAAACAGGTAAATCATAAAAGAAGGTATCCAAATGGTCTAGTAATAAACATTTAAAACAATTTCAACCTCAGTAGCAATGAAGAAATACAGATGAAATCTATAAGGTTCCATTTTTTTTCCTAAAAATTCGCAAAGATTATTTAAAAATGATTCTCAATGTCACTGAGTTTGAGGGAATGGGGCATTTTTAGATACTGATGGTGAGTAAAGGCTTGGTGAGGAAAACTTGGTTGTGTATACAAAAAACTATAAAAATACCTTTGACCCAGGGGTGCCTGGGTGGCTCAGTCGGTTAAGGGTCCAACTTCAGCTTAGGTCATGATCTCACCGTTCATGAGATCAAGCCCCACACTGGGCTCTGCCCTAACAGCAGGAAGCCTGCTTGAGATCCTCTCCCTGTCCCTTCCCACATCTCTCTCTCAAAATAAATAAACTTAAAAAAATTCTTGAAAATAAACCCCAAATACCTTTGTTCCAGAGATTCTTCTAGAAATGTATCCCAAGGAAACAATCTTACACGTTAAGACTTAGCTGCAAAAATAATTACTGCAGCCCTACATAGAATGTCAAAAGGTGGGCACCTGGGTGGCTCAATCTGTTAAGCATCCAACCTGATTTTGGCTCAGGTCATGATCTCATGGTTCATGAGTTCGAGCCCCATGGCTCTGGGCTGACAGTGTGAAGCTTGCTTGGGATTCTCTCTCTCACTCTCTCTCTCAAAATAAATAAACCTTAAATTTAAAAAGAATATCAAAAGGTAGAAAGCAACAGATGGGACTATGATTATCGTGATGAGCACTGAGTAATATATAGAATTGTTGAATCATTATGTTGCATACCTGAAACTACACTGTACGTTAATTATACTTCAGTAAAAGGTAGAAAACAATTGGGATTGATTACCTAAATTAAGGCAAATCCATGTAAAGAATATTATGTAGCTATTAGGACAGACTAGATCCCAATGCACTGAAATGGAAAGCTTTTTTTTTTTTTATGTTTCTTTATCTATTTTGAGAGAGAGAGAGATAAAGCATGAGCAGGGGAGGGGCAGAGAGAGAGGGAGACAGAAAATGCCAAGCAGACTCCTTATTCACAAAACGCGAGATAATGACCTGAGCCAAAATCAAGAGCGAGATGCTTAAGTAATTGAGCCACCCAGTCACTCCAATGGAAAGCTTTTTTTAAATCTAATAAAATTATAGTTCTAATATGGAAAGAAATATGGTGTACAATAGAAAAAACGGTCTTAATTAGAAATATAATTCCAGAGGGGCGCCTGGGTGGCTCAGTCGGTTAAGTGTCTGACTCTTGATCTCAGCTCAGGTCTTGAGCCCCAGGGTTATGAATTCAAGCCCCATGTTGGGCTCCACACTGGGTGTGAAGCCTACTTAGAAAAAAATGTGTGTGTGTGTGTGTGTGTGTGTGTGTGTGTGTGTGTGTGTGTGTATAGGACAGAACCAAGCTCATATAACAATAATACATACACACTGAATGTTTTCTGTAACAGAAAAAGACTGAAGACAACTCAAATGTTCATCAATAGGGGAATGTAACGTTAAGTAAGTTTGGAATATTCACTCAGTGAAACCTAGGCAGACATAAAAAATAAATAATTTCTTTCTATGTATTAAATATGGAAAAAAACCTAGGTGAAAAAAAAAGCAAGAGGCAGAGTAGTTGTATTTCTTTATATTTGCATTAGGAAAAAATCCACACACTGGAAGAATCAAATAGAAACTCATTAATAAAAGTGGGTGTCTTAGCCAGTTGAGCCTCCGACTCTTGATTTCAGCTCAGGTTGTGATCTCACAGTTTGTGGGATCAAACCCCATGTTGGGCTCCACCCTGTCAGCGAAGAGCCTCCTTGGGATTCTCCCTCTCTCTCTCTCTTTCTCTCTCTCTCTCTCACTCTGAAAGTAAATAAATAAACTTAAAAAAAAAAGTGGTTAATTCTAGGGGTGGCTGGCTGGCTCAGTCAGTAGAGTGGTAGAGTGTGCAACTCTTGATCTCAGGGTCATGAGTTCAAGCCCCACATAGGGCATAGAGCTTACTTAAAAAAAAATCAATAAGTAAAAGTAGTTAATTCTAAGTGGCTGGAGGGGGGAGGGATATGTGAGGTAGGCAGGAGTAGATAATAGGATATACCTTAATACATACTTTGTTTTAATTTTGAACCATGTGGCTATTACTTTTTCCAAAGAAATTAAATGAAAATTGTAAAAGAGACCCTAAGAATAGGAAAGATAAATTATTCAAACAAAATAATACCATATAAGGAATACCATATAAAAATTCTTCTGTACTGTTTTTGGATGACTCAAGAAATTAGAAGCTTATTACCTCAGAAAGACAGGTAGATTGCTGTCACTACCTGTTTGCTCTACAGGAAGCTAGAGAGGTGGTTTCCAAAGAGCACATACCTACCACTTGAAAGAGCAAGACACAGCAACTGCCTGCTCCAGCCACTGGCACAACTGCAAGCTAAGCCCAATAAACAAAACAGGACTCTGAATAACAACAGAGGCATGGTAATTAGCCTCTGAAGCAACCAGAAGGAAGCTGAATGCACCCAACTGGCCTCCTGCAGTAGCCTTTGAAGTTCACAGAGCACTCTCACATCCCTTATCTCTTTAACCATCTCTGAGAAAGGTGCTAATAACAGGGAAAAAAAACTGAAGTTCAGGGAAGCCAGACCATACACTGGGGCTAGAACCCAGATCTCCTGGCACCAAGTCTGTTCTCTCCTCCTCCTACCACCCAGATCTCAGTTCTGGCCACTTCTCATCCTGGATCCCATAGGTGGGTTCATACTGGATAGTCAAGGACACTATAGGGGGATGGTGGGAGTGTAAGCTGAGCCTCTCCTGTTTTCCTGTAGACTTCTATGCCCCAGGCCCCAAGAAGGAGACTGTTCCAACAGCCTCTGAAGGAATTCAGTGTCAGAAAACAGAAGTCTATACTGGAGATGAAAATACTAACTACAAATCAGCACTGACAGAGTATTCAGATCATGGTCCAGCCAGAGGCAGACTGTATTTAATAAGTCATTCTGATGAGTAAAGGCTCCAGTTATGTCCTTACCTGGAATCAAAGAAGGTGCCATCCAGAAGCGTGCCATTGTAATGATACCTGAGAAAGTCCCCACTTTGACTTCGCCGCTCACAGTTTTCAGGCACTACCTTGTTTTCAATGGAAATGCCATCCTTGGGGTTATGGAGGTCCAACAACGCAACGTCAAACACCAGAGATGCCTGTCCAGGAATGTCTTTCCCTAGAGGGGAATGGAGGAAGCTGATGAAATCAGGACACAAGATTTAGAAAGTATTTTTATTTTATTTTATTAAAAAAACATTTTTTTAATGTTTATTTATTCTTGAGAGAGAGACAGACAGAGACAGAGTGTGAGTGGGGAAGGGTCAGAGAAAGAGGGAGAAACAGAATCTGAAGCAGGCTCCAGGCTCTGAGCTGTCAGCACAGAGCCTGACACGGGGCTCGAACTCACAAACTGTGAGATCATGACCTGAGCCGAAGTCAGACGCCTAACCGACTGAGCCACCCAGGCGCCCCTAGAAAGTACTTTTAACTACAACTCAATTCCCACTGTGTTGGTGTTACTCATTCCTTAAAGTTTTCAAGCCAAGGGAATAAATGTTCTTCTGCATGTTGGGTGGTCCTCCTGGTGTCCAACTATGTTCTGTCACCATTGTGTCCATGGTGCCCAACCATGGGCTGGCGGGTATATTTGAAGCCAGACTTCTTCAGGAAAAGGAGCAAACCAATATTAATGACATGCAAGACTACTACAACCATATTTTCTATGCTTGTGCTGACAAATCAAGGTGCTATGTGGGTGGTTATGCACCCACATGCAAGCCCAAATGCTTCTGTGGGTCTCTGTTTGCATACAAATGCAAATCACAGACATTTAAAGGTATAAATTCCAAACCCTGGACCTGGTTCTGCAGAATATGACACAGACTTGTTCTTTGGAACCAACAGCCAATTTTTTGAAGAGGCAACATGCACAATTCAATGTATTAACTACATCTAAAACAAGATATAAATAAAACTAAAGCTAGCTAAGAGGGAAAAAAATGGCACCCACATTGCAAAATACAAATCCTCAAATCGCTTCCACCTCACTTCTGGATCATACTGCTTCTTTTGGATGTTCCCAGCAGTGGGGACTTACTGAGTATCTGCAAAATGATAATCTACATGAAGAGATTATTGGGCACTAACTCCTCCTGCAAAGATCAACATCAAGCAATAAATAACTCAATCCAGTACTTTGAGATAAAGGAAGTTAACTGACAAAAACCACCTACCTCCACACTCTTACTTGCCATTTGTTATACCTTGCAAAGGAGTAGGCCTGGGCAAGTGAGTAAGACAGTACACTAAGCCTGAGCTCCTTCAATGGCTCTGGCAGAGCCCACCCCTATTCCTTCCCCTCAGGGAAATCATGAAATCTTCTGAAAGCAGCTGCTGAGTCAGACTCTGGAATGCAAGGTGTGGTCAATCCCTGAAGTGTGTATATGGGTGTGACAGAATATTAATCTTTTGTACTTTCCTGTATTTTTTAATTTAGTAGAAAAAAGAAAGCCTTAAATGTAACTCCAGAGTTTAAATTTTTCTAGCATTATCATGTACTAATTGCATCTATGTTTTTTTTTAACAATAACTTTATCAAGATCTAATTTCCATACCATAGAATTCACCTATTTAAAGTCATACCCAGGTAGTTGAGCACAGTATTAAAATACTAAATAATAACTATTTCAATTTTTTTAAATGTTTTCCTTATTTTTGAGAGTGAGAGAGAGAGCGCGCGTGAGTAGAGAGGGGCAGAGAGAGGGGGAGACACAGAATCCAAAGCAGGGGGAGACACAGAATCCAAAGCAGGCTCCAGGCTCCGAGCTGTCAGCACAGAGCCCAATGCGGGACTCGAACTCATGAACTGTGAGATCATTCATGACCAGAGGTGAAGTCAGACGCTTAACTGACTGAACCACACAGGTACCCCTTCAGTATTTATTTAAAATAAATAAATAATACTCCTCAAATTAGGCCAGGCATCTAGTTTTACTATGTATGACATATGCACCTGGATGACGTCAAAAGGATTTGAGAGCCCTGGGAAATAAACTCCCCCTGGCTAAGGATGAGACCATTTGAATAATAAGAATAACAACATGTCTTGGAGACTGGAGAATTTGTATTTACAGATTACAATTATAGTTGTTTTCAAATTTTATTTTTCTTTTAGCATGGAATCCCTACCCCTGCTTTTTGAAGAGACTGTCTGCAGATCCCCAGCAATAAAAGTAGAAGTGGACAGAAGAGAAGGCTGAGCCCCATTTCCTTCTCTCTCCTCCTGCTCTGTAGATATAGAGAGCCAGGAAACATAGCTTAGAAAACATTATTTTAGGGTTATTATAAGTCAGGTACCACAGTCAGTAAACTCTTAGATGTATCATTTTATCATTTCAATTCTTCGCTACGTATATCTACTTGATTAAAGAGAAGTTTTAATGTTCATTATTCTTTTGAGAGAGAGAGAGAGAGTACACAAGTAGAAGAATAGGCAGAGAGAGAGGGAAACAGAGAAGTAGGCTCCGTGCTGTCAGCACAGAGCCTGATGCAGGGCCCAATCTCACAAACCGTGAGATCATGACCTGAGCCAATATCAGGAGTTGGACACTTAATGGACTGAGCCACCCAGGTGCCCCTATATCTACTTGTTTAAATGCTGGGAGGTTGTCTTTGTTGTGTTAGCCTGCCAGGGTGATTAAATATGCCTGAAATTAAAATATGAGTCACTGTGAAATTCCATTTGCCAAACAATAGTCTGTTTTCTCTCTACAAAAAGGACACTAATTCAAATTAATGTTTTTTTTCTAACATGCTTTGCATCTGTCCACCTGGAACTAATGTCACAGGTAAAGTCCATGGTGAAGGAACAAATCAGGGGGAAAAATGGCAATTCTGGCATCATATACTAAATTTATACCTTGATATCTACAGTCTTTAGACTTTCTAGTTCATTTGTCATTTCACAGATGGGAAAATGTAGGCTGGAGAGGTTGGTGCCCAAGGTTACAGTTTATGGGGCAGTGGCAGATGCTTACTTATGAAAAGCCAATGACCATGAATAAGTGGAAGATTCTACAATTCAGTGATGAGACACTCGATGATTTAGACTAGCACTGCCCAACGGAACATTCCACAGTGATGGAAATGCTCTGTACCTGCACTGTCTAGGAAAGTAGCCCTCAGCAACATGCAGCTCTTAAGTACATGAAATGTGGCAGTGTAGCTAAAGAGCAGAATCTTAGATTTTATTTAGTTTTAATTTATTTTAAATGTAAATATAAATAGCCATATGGAGCTAGTGGCCACTATATTGGACAGTGCAAGTCTAGGCCAAAAGGTCTGGCGGGTTTCATGTGGTAAATTGAATTAATCACGGCAATAAAAATAAGGAGAGATGAGAGTAGCTTGAAGAATGAGAAAGACTTACCATCTCCATCTTCTCCATAGGCCAGGAAAGGAGGTATGGTGATGATGCGCTTTTCCCCCACACACATCCCCAACAGCCCTTTATCCATTCCAGGAATCAACCAGCCAATGCCCACATATGTGTCATATGTTTTCATGCGATTATGACTGAAAACCAATGAGAAAGGGGAAAAGTTCCATGCTATGAGGGTGTTTCCAACTCATCCCTCGATAATGTTCTAGATACCCAATTATCAGCTAAATAGTGAACCTATACCCATCTCTGAAGACAGGCATTTTTGGATCTTCACCCCCAAAGACAGCAGCAGTCTTCAAATTGAGAAATCATGTAATTAAACCACAGTGGTCTAATTGGCCTGCTATTCTATCTAACCAAATACACTATAATGACAGGAAAGCCCAAAAGGTTCACTGTTTCTGGCTTAGCACCCTACTCTTGGCAGTTCTCCATAGCTTCACATACATTCAGCCTTCCCCTCTTCCTTCCATGGGAAAACTATAAAAATGGACCAAAAAATGCATCAACCTATTTGGAAATAGGGCTCTTCACTTATTGATGAGCTCTCAAGATACTGTTAATTTAGAGAAACATTGTTCTTACATTTCTGTAAAATATATTAAACTTTTGATCTGGCTTTATGGAGCACGAAACATTTACCAAAAGCATTAAGGAAAGGGGTTGGTGCTGATGGAAGTTGGGAAGAGTCTGTCTTCTGGTTTCTTGATGGGCATAAAAAGCAGGTGAGACAGAAGGAAGTAAGGGGCATTTCACTAATGTTACCTTGAATGGCAGACTTACCTTGAATCAAACAGTGTCCCATCCAAGAACGTTCCATTGTAGTGGTACCTTACAAAATCAGACACCTGGATGGTCCGAGGGCAACTGGGGGGTGTGAAGTAAGTGTGAATCTGAACTTGATCTTCAGAATTCCAAATATCCATTAGAAGTACATCAAAATGAAGAACTGAATCTGGGGGGATCACACCAGCTAAAAATTAAAGAGAATTCACACTGAGAAGTTGCTGCCTTTCGGGCCAGATGAATAAACACCTAGGATTCAAGGGGGTCGCTGAACAATTCTAAAATGGGCCATGCTCCCTCCCTCCTTCCTCCAAATGAAATAGAAAAGAGAAAAAAATGTTTTCCTCTCAACAAGGGTGACATTCAATATACCAGTGTTAATAACAACTTCTTTTATATTTAGAAGAAATTAACTGAAGATGAAATTTTAGTGCTGTGTGTGTATATGTTCATTGCTTCTCATTTCCCCCCAATTTAAAGTCTCTGCAGATCCTCTGGTCTGCTTGACTGAACGCCCTTCAAATGTTCTGGTTCTATCTGCAGATACATTTACAAATATGGAACAAAACTTACAAACTCCTTCACTTCCGTAGGCAAGCTTTGGGGGGATCTTCACAAAGCGCCTCTCATTTACACACATCCCAACCAGAGCTTGGTCCATCCCTGCAATCAGTTGTCCTTTTCCCACAAACACGTTGAAAGTAGAGTCTCTGTCATAGCTGAAGACCCAAGAGGTAGAACAAGAAAAAGAAAAGTACAAATTAATCCTTCCCTTAGTGAAGTCATCCAGTGAAAAGGTACCCCTGGATAGAGTGAGGTCAATGCAACCCAAAATCAGCCTGTAGAGGAGTTACTGATACAGGAAATGTCTTCACCAATAGTACTTTCAGGGTTGGAGTTTTTTTAATTATTGTGAATACTGCCAGTAAATCCAGTTAGATAAGCAGTGATGTAACTTTCCCTAGAAAAAAAATATATTATTTTTAATATATTATATTATTAAGTCTATTTTGCAAAAGAGCTATCAAGTCTTCCACTAAAAATAGTTTATTCAATTTCTATGTGATTGTTTAAATCTTTTTTAAATGTTTATTTATTTTGAGAGAGACAGAGAGAGAGAGCATAAGTGGAGGAGGGACAGAGAGAGAGAGACACAGAATCCGAAGCAGGTTCCAGGCTCTGAGCTGGACTCATCTGAGTCCGATGAGGGGCTCAAACCCACAAACCATGAGATCATGACCTGACCCGAAGTCAGACGCTTAACCGACTGAGCCACCCAGTCGCCCCTATGTGATTGTTTAAAAGCAACAACGTAAGATACTAATGCTCCATTACCATATTTATCTGATTTTTCTTTTTTTTTAATGTTTATTTATTTTTTGAGACAGAGAGAGAGAGACAGAGCATGAACGGGGGAGGGGCAGAGAGAGAGGGAGACACAGAATCGGAAGCAGGCTCCAGGCTCTGAGCCATCAGCCCAGAGCCCGACGCGGGGCTCAAACTCACGGACTGCGAGATCGTGACCTGAGCTGAAGTCGGACGCTTAACCGACTGAGCCACCCAGGCGCCCCTGATTTTTCTTTTTATCTTTAGGTCTGTAAGTTGGAGAAGTAGCATGATAGCATAAAGGATACTTAAACTCTTTTAACCTATTTCCTCCACCACAAAAATGGGAGTAACAATAATAGTCATCCCAAGATATATATGATATTACAATCGGTAACGTGCTCTGAAAACCTGAGTTATGCCAATATTACTATAATTGTTACAGGTCATAGAAAGTCTGATACAGTCTTAGAATCACTAATACATGTGTTTTAAAGGCTGATTGGTGATGGCCTTAGGTTGGAAGATAAATAATGGAACCGTGACCAACATCTATGATCTCATCTTCTTTATGTCAAATTCTACAACCATCAAGGGTTTGCCTATTAGGAGACTGTGCTAGGTGCTTTGGGAGATATAAAAACGTCCAAGGCATGGATTTTGCCTATTACAAAAAAACCAGCAGAGATACCCAGAGAGTTTCAAATACTATGTTGAAGAAAACAACTACAGGGCTTGGTTTATAACAATGAAACACTGGAAATATGAAGTTTCAAGGGTATGGCACTGATTGCATTTAAGGCAAGGTCGTGCAATAAAACGCTCTGTAGTCATTTAAAAAGATCAGATTTATGTCCATTGGCACAGGAGGACATATACAGTAACAGAAAAGTACAGGCTATAGAGCCACAGCATAAAAGGATTCCATTTTGAATTGACATACATAGATGCATACGAAATCCACAGGGTGACACATAAAAACATTACCAATGGTACTCTACGAGTAGGCGATTTCAGGTGGCTTAACTTGTTTTCTCTTTAATTCTCTCTTAATTTTCAAAATGATGATGAAAGACACATGTAATAAAATATTAAGAGCTGTTAGAATTTACCTCATTGGGGTGTGCTCTCTTCATTTGGTAAATTACTGCCACCTTTTCCTCATTTTCCTTAATGAACAACCTGGAGGAGCAGCACAGTCCACTTCCCCACCCATCAGGGCAGCTTCCTCAGACCCGCCCTTCTTATGCTTCCTCCTCCTAGTTTTACAACCCATTTTAATAACTTTCCTTTTGCAAGGTCGGTGAACAGAAAGCAAAATTCCAAGTTCAGGTCAGCAAGCCAAAGGACAAAAACACATGGTCAACTGTGTGCCCAAGACAGCTTTACACCTCCACCCTCTACCTCCAGGGACCAACACCCGCCCCCTAGAATGCCAGCTCTTTAATTTCACTTGGCTGGGGCCTTGCCATGCCCTGAACCATCATCCAACTGGTGGGTTTATATTAATAATGGACCAAAACTCGAAGCTTCAAAGACATCCCAGGTACAGAACATGTGCAAACAGCTACAATGCACAGGCTGGAAACTACCTTAGAAATAAGTTTTTCATCCATAGAACCTGAATATGGTTCCCAAATTTAATAAGAGTTTTTAATAATAATTACTATTTAGAGTGTTTATTATGTGTCAGGTACAGTGGCAAACTAAGCTTTTCCACATACTACCCCATTTAATCATTAGACAACACTTCAAGGTGGGTGCTGATACTCTGGCTCTCTGGAGGGGAAAGAATCTTCCAAGCTCACAAAGTTAGCCAACTGGGGAAAAAAAGCGAGAACACAGGTCTATCCGACCCTTAACCTCCTAGCATGGGGCCAGGCCCTAGATGGTATATAAAAACAGTTGTTTCGGTGCCTGGGTGGCTCAGTCGGTTGAGCATCTGACTTTTGGCTTCAGCTCAGGTCATGATCCCAGGGTCATGAGATTGAGCCCCATGTTGGACTCCACACTGAGCATGGAGTCTGCTTAAGATTCCCTCTCTCTGTTTCTGTCTCACTCTCCCTCTGCCTCTCTTCTTCACTTGTGCTCTCTCTCTCTCTCTCTCTCTCAAATTAAAAAAAAAATTTTTTAACTGTTGTTGCCTTGCAGTATTAATTTCTTCATTTGATGACTACCTAAGCAAAGTGCTAAAAACTAAAAACAAAAAAATTTACATATGTGAGAAATTAACAATGCAAGACTGGTCTTATCTCCTGCTTAAAACTCTGACCATCTGGAAAAATAAAATCGTTCTGAGTAAATCTGTGCCGATCAGCACAACTGGCACAAATTCACTTGCAGAGCAAGCCCAGAAGTGGTTATGAAAATTACTTCTGCAAGCTCTGGAATAAGCACTTACATGGCCTGTCCCAGTATCTGACTGATTTACACCTTTTGCAGAAGTCCCAGTTGAGGTCCTGCGGGAAACAAATGATACATCCAAACTAGGCAGTTCCAGGAAAGTTTAACAAAGGGGCTGTGTGCAAAGGAGTGTGCAGAGTGCAGACAACACAAGGGACAATGTAGTACCTTGGGGACAAGTATGGGGGTGCTGTTGTCAGACCTGGGCTTGAAGGATCCAGGTACAGAGATGGTTCAGGGCCACATGACAAGCTTAGCTAGGACCTCTGGTCCAGGGACACAAATGGTGGAGACCTACCGGCAGGGAGCCCAGGGAATAAATATCTCTACCTCACTCTCCTCCCTCTGATCTCCTGCTGATGCCCCACTGACTGAACCCAACCAGAAACCAGGTGACGAGGGAGTCATTTATATAACCCATAGTATGCACACAGCAAAAAGCCAAGTGGAACAGAAGGACCTAGAAAGCCAAATGGAAATCATCTAGCACGTCCAAAATCCCCCTTTCCTCTCCATCAGCTTATTTTTCTCCTCTGCTCATTCACTGCTATAGACCCTTTGATTGCTATCCCTGACACTTCTTTCTACTTTCCCCGCCCCGAAGGG